CCTTGGGGGAGTTGAGGGGAGGAAATGAGGGAGGGGCGCCGGATAGTGGCAGTGCCGGCCGCTAAACAACAACGTGGGAAAGCTAGTCGCACTATCAACACCAGTCGACAGCTGCCAGACGTGTTCGCAATGTTCGCTGTCGAGGTCAAGAGATGAGAAGGGGTTCTGTCCACTGCCGCGTTGCTAGCGAGCCTCTGTAATCGAACTTTGTCGCCGTCTGCTGAGGACGAGAAGCACTCCGTAAGATACTGTAGGACGACAGGTATCCGAGCCACGCGAGGTACTGGGGTCCTAGGTCTACCGAGAGGCCCTACGTATACTAGACTCTGATAAGAAGAGGGGCGATGCTGCGTTGCCGGTGGACGTTGGGCGGTAGGCCATCCTGTTCCTGCATGGATGGCATCATGGGACAGGCTGATGCTTCAATGGTGGCGGCAACAAACGCCCGCTTCTCAACCGTTTGTTGGAGAGTTTGATTTGCGGCTGGCTTGTCGTTCGACCGTGTTTTGGCGGCCGCTGTCATCCTCGTGGCCATCCTCGAAGCCATGCCCGTAGTGCGGGCTAGCACTGCGAGTAGGAGGCTTGACTCGGTAGGCGAGTGTCTTGCGCCGCTTGCTGTCTGGCCCCTGGGCTTGCGGTTGAGTGTCAAGAAGCACCGATGTATTCGTCGTTAAGTTGCGACTGGTGTTCATGGCCTCCTCCTTGGCCCGGTCATGCTGCTGATCGAGCTCGCGTTGTAATTTATCGGGCGACGGTGGCGTACTATCGTCAAAAACCTCATCAATATCCCGTTTCCTGCCGGCCTGAAGTGACCCCGGCGGTTGAGGAATTTGCATGTCCATCAAGCTCTCAGCGTGAGATAGAGGAGCAAGAGGACTTCGGGGGATACGCCGGCCGGGTGTCATGGTTGGGTCCGAAATGATAGGATCTGGTGAAGGTAGTCTCGAGCTCCATCCGCTGGACCCGCTGTCAGACGTGACACTACAACCATGCACGTAGTGGCAGTGGTGGACCTGGTAGGGGCCAGGGGGGGCCAACTTACCTCGCACTCGAGAGATGGGCGCGTGTCGAGGCCACGCCGTCACCTGCGGTGCTTTCTGATGGCTCGTCTTTGCACATGGCAGGCGCCGCTGGCAGTGTACGGAGTGCGTGGAGTTGGTTAGTGTTGGACTGGCAATGGTCCAAAAAGAGGGTACAGCAATCTTTGCAAAGATGCCCAGGCGGCCGGCGCTGGTGCGGACAGTTCGGATGCTTGTCGTTATATTTTGGCTAGTTTTCTGAAAAAAGTGCACGGTTCTCGAACGACGACCATGTGCCGGCCGGTTGTTGATGGTGTTAATGGTAGCGGTTTGTGCGCGAGAAGCCCTGTTTGTCAACTTCATGCGAGGAGCCGTGGTTTGGGGTGCCTCGCCAAATTTCATGATCATGAGGCCAGACGTTCGGTATCCGAGTCTTTGGATGAATGTGCAAGAGATGGCTAATGTCTGCTCTTCTCTGTCCCATGGGAGGTTTCTCCAGCGAACAACAAAGGCGTTCATTCTACGCCGATGTCAGGGCATGTCTCGGAGTGTGCCGCTGTCGAGTCACCCTTCGAGCAATGTTCAGGGGGTCCTGCGAAGCTTTTACGAAGCAGATTTGTTGACAGACGTCCAAGGCGTTTTCGACGAAGTAAACTAGATGCAAATGCTATCTTGTTTGTACTTGATGGCTCGGCTTGGTGGGTGGCATTTTCTCGAATATTGGAGACTTTCGGTGTCGAACGCCACCACAGCCTCCACGCGAGGGACATCAATGGTGGTGGCTTCGGTGAGTCTGATCGATGAACTACATCAACAGTCCCTGGTTTGATCACTGGTGATCTATGCTTGCAGGGTTGACAGATAAGCCCCGGGTCGAAGCCTGGAATCTCTAGAAACTAAAGCGCGACTTCGAAGATCGATCAGAAATGATCTTTCTGCGTCCAGTCTTGCGAATTCGATGGTAGTCTAGCGTCATCACATCTGGATAGGTTTGTGCCAACGTCAAAAATGTTCTATCCGAGGGGTTCCTGTTGTGCAGAATTGTGACAGGTGCAGATTGGTTAGATAACGGTGAAGACGACATGGATTCGAGGACTGCAACCGTAAATTGTATTGGGAACTGGAGGCATTGTCAAGGATGCGAATTGTTGCAGCAACCCAGGTGGGAGATTCGATAGGTTGTTGAGGTGATGTGCAGATGGACGTGGGATCAGTGTGGGATGCGGTGGGTAGGTACCCAAGAACGGCGACCATGGTACGTACCGAGGTAGCTGAGGTGCCCGAGGAAGGTTCCAGGGCAAGCACCTTCCATAAAGTGGTTTTGGCTGACTCAGCGGCTGCTCACGTGAAGACGCGCCAAACTCTGGGAACCCGTGAGCCTGATAGTCGCGACTCCATCCTCACCAGCAGCAGGCATTTTCATCCCTTCACTCGACTACCTTGCCAATTCGTACATACTCACATTTTCCCAGGCCAACTAAGTGAAGCTGTTGGCGAGGATGAACTGCTATTGAGCTGCCTTCCTGCCTCGGCTTGTGGGTGTTACACTGCCCCGTAACGGCTGAAAGCAATATTGAGCCTCTTCGAACCTCAAACAGCCATGGCTGACCCCATGGAAGTTGATCCCGCTCCTTCTGCTGGCACGAAGCGGAAGGCGGAGGAAGACCTGGAAGACTCTCAAGGGCCCCGTCGCATTCGCGTGAGTTGCACTAGCCGCTTACTCGGCGTGCTACACTTCTGACAGGCATGTGCAGGCGCTCGATCAGAATGTAGTCAATAAAATCGCCGCCGGAGAGATCATCGTTGCCCCCGTCAATGCACTGAAAGAATTGATCGAGAACTCCGTTGACGCAGGTGCCACTGCCCTCGAGGTACTGGTCAAGGAGGGTGGTCTCAAACTCCTGCAAATCACCGACAATGGATGCGGTATTCAGGTATGACATGACATGCGTCCTCTCCGCAGATCCACCTGTTCGTTCTGACTCTTCTCAAGAGGGAAGATATGGAGATCCTCTGTGAGCGTCATACGACCTCCAAGATCACCGCCTTTGAGGACCTCACCTCCATTGCCACCTACGGCTTCAGAGGCGAGGCCCTAGCAAGTATCAGTCACATTGCCCACCTCTCCGTGACTACCAAAACCAAAGACTCGAATTGCGCATGGCGTGCCACATATCTCGACGGCAAGCTGGCTCCTGCAAAGCCTGGTCAGTCGGCTGACCCCAAGCCCACCGCTGGCCGCCAGGGTACGCAGATCAGCGTCGAAGACATGTTCTATAATATACCGACACGTCGAAGAGCTTTCAGATCGCCTTCTGAGGAGTACAATAAGATCATCGACATTGTCGGACGTTACGCCATCCACTGTAATGGAGTGGGCTTCTCATGCAAGAAGCACGGCGAATCGGGCACCAGCGTGTCCATCCAAGCCACAGCAAGTGAGATTGACCGCATACGGCAGATTTACGGCTCGAGTGTCGCCAACGAGTTGATGCAGTTCTCAACCTCGGAAGACCGTTGGGGTTTCAAGGCTACTGGATGGGCTACGAATGCCAACTACAACATCAAGAAGACCACATTTCTCCTATTCATCAACCACCGGTGTGTAGAGTCAACCACCATAAGAAAGGCACTTGAGCAGCTGTACGCCTCATTCTTACCCAAGGGCGGTCGGCCATTCATCTACCTCAGCCTCGAGATCGACCCGGCCAGAGTCGACGTCAACGTCCATCCCACGAAGCAAGAAGTGCATTTTCTGAACGAGGATGACGTCATCCAGTCAATATGCGAGCATATACGCTCCAAGCTGGCAGAGGTTGACACGAGTCGCACATTCATGACACAGAGCTTGCTCCCGGGCGGCCAGATGATGGAGATATCCCCTCAGACCGAGGGCGAGGGCACCCCAGCGACGCCCGCAAGAGAAACACCAGGCTCGAAAAGACCACGGAGGAACTCTAACAATCTCGTCCGTACCGATACGAGCTTGCGGAAAATCACCAGCATGCTCCCCTCAGCCACAGCTGCTACGCCCTCCAAGGCATCCCCCGGACTTGCTGCGGCCGCAGCCGGGGCGGCTGACGAGAACGCCTTGTCTGCCTCGGAGCATATTCAGTACGAAACTATTGATAGGTCCTTCGCACCAATGAGGCTTACTAGCGTCAAGGAGCTCCGAGCCGAGGTAAGGGAAGACATGCACAATGACCTCACAGAAATCTTTGCAAATCACACATTTGTCGGCGTCGTCGATGAACGCCGTCGATTGGCCGCTATTCAAGGCGGTGTCAAGATGTATCTTATTGACTACGGTCGGACCTGCTACGAGTACTGCTATCAAGTCGGGCTGACGGACTTTGGCAACTTTGGTACCATCCGCTTCACGCCGCCCCTGGACCTGCGAGAGATCCTCCGCATCGGCGCCGAAGTTGAGAAGGCTAATATTGAGTCTCCCGAGGAGGACTTTGACATTGATGACGTTGTCGAGAAGGTCGCTGCTCAGCTGATTGAGCGACGCGAGATGCTCACCGAGTACTTTTCCCTCGAAGTTTCCCCCGCGGGCGAGCTGCTCACCATCCCCCTCCTGATCAAGGGCTACACGCCCGCCATGGTCAAGTTGCCTCGTTTTCTGCTGCGACTGGGTCCCTGCGTTAACTGGGAGGATGAGAAGCTGTGCTTTGATTCCTTTTTGAAGGAGCTGGCGTCCTTCTATGTGCCGGAGCAGTTGCCGCCGACGGTTGGCGGGGAGGGTGGTGAGAATGATGAGGAGGCCAAGGTCGATGATCAGCTTGCGGAACGGCAGAGAAATGTGCGTTTCGCGATTGAGCATGTGTTCTTCCCTGCCTTCAAGGCAAGACTGGTTGCGACTACGTCGTTGATGAAGGCTGCTGTGCTGGAAGTTGCTGATCTGAAGGGCTTGTATCGTGTCTTTGAGAGATGCTGATCGCTTGCGACTCGACTGAAGAACCATCGGAGGCCCAAATATGTATAGATGTGTTACAAAGAAACAAAGAAACAAAGAAAACATTAGGCCCTTGTGCGTTTGAATCCAAAGTAGTCCTCCGCTATGTACTTCACTACTTCGTTAATTCCCTCTGGGCCATTTTTCCACCATGACCTCAGGCCCCATCTTTGAGCTTGTCAGTACGAATGAGGCATAGGGGTGTGCAGAAAACTCACCGAGTCTCTATATCTTCATATACGCTGTAAACGGCCATCATGTGACCCATGAATAAATAATCAAAAGCCACAAGCACGCTCAATAGTTGCATGGCCAATTGAGAGAAGCCGGGCTTAGATCGTGTAACAGTGTCCCTACTAAGGTTGTGGTAAGGATTTATAGGGGCAAAACCCAATCGACAAATACAGAATGAAGAAAAGAGGCCCGAAATGCAGAACAATATAACCCAAAAATCTGGGAGATATTGACCAGATAAAGCAGTACCACCAATGACTGAACCAAAATGAAGCAAAAGGCTTGCACATAGTAAAAGACGAGGGGAACGCCAGAGAGCTCCTGCAACGCTAAAAATGTACATAATGGAAGAAACTACAGAATGACCGACAGGACCGAATGAACATCGGATATCCGCGTTGTTTACAAGCAGTTTCGGCTTGAACTCCCTGATTTGGAGCTTTGCGGCGGGGTGTTTTTCAGATCGGGTCCTCATAGAGTTGATCAGATCCATCTCGATATACGGTGATATGTCTGAGCCTTGTCCGGAGAGAAGATTGTCGATACGTCGTTCCCAAAGCCTTCTGATGCCGCGATTTTTCAGATAAATTTTTTGAAGACTGTGGTAACGTTGCTCCGGAAGATCTGTAGTGATGTCTTGAATTGACTGTTCATGATTATGGGCGTGGGAGACTTCTCCATTGCTTGGGAATATTGGTAATCCAATCGCATCTGTCGCCAAACCTCTTCTTTTTCCAATGCTACTTTGAATATCCCCCCAAGAAATCATATAAGCTGAGCCAGCAGAGCGTGCTATCACCATGCCCAAAAGGCTGCAGTCGCTCTCTCGGATTACCCAAGAGCCGGAATCGCCTGCTCGGAGATCTATCAGCGTGTCAGAGACATCTTTGTAATAAACAGAGAGCCCTCTACACAGAGAGAGATTACTTACCACCTTTACTGAGTCTGATAGACCATGACTCAAACGAGTTTCCCGTACCAGGAAGCATGTATGAGGGATTCGAGGACAGCACGCAGTGCACCACGCCACTCATACCTGAGATGATTGATACGTGCCAAGGGTTCTCATCAAGAAATCTTGCTGCATCCAAGCTACCAAAAGCCGTGATTTGCACCTCTTTATTGGAGTCAAAGACAATATTTGGTAGGCGACATACTGGCTCAACGGAGACGAGGTTCCAATCATTCCAGGGTTCATCCGAGTCCTGGTTTAGCAAAGACCCACAGCTTGAACCAGGTCCAATAGCGGTGGACTCGAGATTTTCGCCTTCCTCCTGATGTTCAGGGCGCATTGTCAGAGACTCGGGCGTTCCAGGCTGTAGGAAGTCGCCGTCTTCGGGTTCCCCATCCGCGAACGCCGTAATGAGGTCTGCCAGACATGGAGTATCCTTTTGGTTCTCCACGATCATCTCGTCTTCTGGATGATGACTTGTTGTTAAAGCAAACGTCTGACCGTTGACCTCAATCAGACCGCCTATGGTCGATGTTCTCAGGGATCCATTCGGATCTTCAAAAGTGGCCAAGCCGCCGCACAGAGTTCTCGTGAAAGAGGGACTGATGTCAGGCAGACTGGACATAGCTGAACGGATGATTCTCCTTTTCTCATAGCAAAGCTTCAAGGGGCTGTAGAGATGTTTGTAGCCTGTCTTGGACATGAGACGGTCGAATGCTCGGATATCTTCAGATTTCTCGAAGCCAGAAATGCAGATGTGTGTGTTGGGGACGGATCTTGACTGCGCGAGCATGCTAAGCTGTTGCCACCGACTGTACTCTATGGAAACCAGAGACAGATTGATGACGGGGAACTGGCGTCCATACCTGGCATAGAATGCAGTATTATGGGATTTGAGTCTCAGTAGAAAAGCCTCCAAGACAGTTCGTTCCTTGTTGGTGAATCCGACGTTGGGGTTTGCCCAAGCAGTTTTGGGAACCAAAGACCAAAAGCTCTGTGGCTCTATGACGACTCTGGTTATGCCCTCGAGTGTATGACGCCCCACATTCTCTTTCGATCTGCTGGCTTCAGTCGTCTGGGGCTGATCACGACGCTCAGTGACAGAGGTCTGGCATTGCTCGGCCCATTGAATCTGCAACTCTGAGGGCTCGCTTGTCACAACGACATTGACATGGCCGGTCGCAGGTTGGGAATCTTCCACCGGCCTTGGAGAATGCTTCAGTTCGAACTGCTCAGTCTCGTCATTGCAAGACAATAACTCATGGCCTTCCGGGAAGTATTTGGTATCCACGATCTTTCGCTTTCCTTTATCATCTTCGCTTGATACCGTATTATCTACGCATGCGGAATTAGAGAAGACTGAGTCGGATGTTGGTTTGAGGATGTCGAATGTCTCTAGGAAATCGCAGAAGATGGAATCGGTGACATCGAGTCCTTGCCTGCTGATGCCAAAGCTAGCCATGACAAGCCTTGACATATATATCCCATTTGTTCTCCAAAACTCTTCAGACAATCGAAATATTCTGACACTCCTTGAAAGGCGCCATTGGAATCTCATACGCCCAAGGAGTGGGTATTGAGTGTCGGAGGACTGGAAATGATTCGGAGAATTGCCCTTTGTCACGGTCAAACGGGCTAATAATCTAGGCCTCTGAGGCATGGCGACTGGAGAAGGTCGTGATTGTAGTAGTGAAAGAAGAGAGAAGAAATGGGGCCAGCGACGGGGGGCACAAGAAGGTAGCTTTTCCGTCCATGTGAGGCTGACTTGCCGACTAAGGCAGGCTGATTCGACCGCTTGGCACACCCAAGCAAGGAGGTTGCATGTGCTGCTTACCTGCATACAGAGCATTTGTAAATGGAAAAAGGACCAGTGGCTTTCAATCGGGCGCGAATGGTGCAGTAGTACCTTCCTCCCCTGGTGTACTTTAGCTGAGATCGCCCGTCCGATTTCCAACCAACACAGCCTTGCCAGCGACTTCATTAATCGACAGCATCCTCGCGATTCTCAGACTTGGACTGGGAAATCATTTCCGAACCGTACGCATCGAATCGGTAAAGACACACAATAGAGTACCTTTCTGTTGAACCAGGCGAGCACGGCATGCAAGCAAATAACGTTGGAGACAATGCTTCATCGACGCACCTATCACGAAACCCCAGACTTTTTAGATACCACGCAGAACATATATTGTCATGCAAAGCTCGTTGCAACGGAGTTAAAATACAACAAGCGTTCAAGGAGCTCAGAGCAGCTCCTCTGGCGACAAAAAGAGCGATTCTCTCTCGAGCTGATCAGGATGGCATTGGGCCGATTGTTGAGTGCGTTGTGCGACTCATGTTCATGACTGCATGTCAGCCAGAAGGGGCTGCACTGGGAAGCTATTGGGTTCATGAATGGAAAGCTGAAGAGACACTGACAGCCTTTCTCAAACGTGTATACTCACAGGCTTTTGCAGGAGGGACACCTGAACAGCCTATCAACACGGGCAATCTCCGCGCTTATATCCTGTCCAAGAACGCCAGAGTCGTTGTAAAAGAAACTGACGTGCTGTCGGATCACCTATCTTTGATTATAGGAGAAGGTTTCAAGACGTTGTTGGTGTTCCACCATCGCGCATTCCTCGAAGATAGTCTGGAGGTTTTGAAGGCGGATCAGGAAGATTTAAGCCAGTCTTTCTCAGAAGCTGTATCCATGTAAGCCCTGGCCTTCAGAACTTTTCCGAGTGGCTTGACACTTAACAAGTGATTTGACAGTGGCTGTCTTGCCCCGACACTCCTCGAAGAAACGCTCAGGACCCTTGACCTCCTGTTCCCACCTTCCGGTGATGGACAATCCCGACGAATCCTCGAGAAATTGGTGCAGCGGGAAGATCTTGACCCATGTCTGCTAGAGCTGGGTCATACCATGCTGGAGATTTCGGTTGAAAATCAGACCCCCGATGACCTTCAGGAATTGTATATGCAGTATCCGCACTGGGCCCCACGGCTGGCCCGTTTGCTGAAGGAGGTTGACGACCCGACACCGACAACAAGGTGGGAGCGCTACGCAGAACGAAGAAAGTCGCCACGACACATGTACAAGTGCGCTCTCGCCGCGTTCATTGTGGCGGCTATATTTGGCATCCTTGCAACGGTGCTGGCGGCAGTCCAGGTCTGGATATCATACTGCGCCTGGGTGGACGACCCGATGAAGTCCTTATGTGGAGCAAAGAAGGCTCAAATTTCCCCAACATTGGATGGGTAATTCTGAACTCCAATACGAAGAAGAGGGATATTTGTTCTAAGATATTGAAAAATTGTCAGGCTTTTATCGTTTTGATCCACTAATGGCAAAGAGCAGGAGATGTCCCACAAAACGCCGGCGAGGTCGGCTAGAGTGTAAGTTGGGTGAGCCGAGGTGGAGCCCGATCGCCGATCGCCGTTGCCGTACAGTGTCCGCGCCGGCCTCAAGACCTTTTCTTGGCGCTCTAGCGCATATGAAATCACACAGTGCTAAAATGACACCATACATGGCGCTTGTGATCAAATCCGGTTCCCATTTCTAGCCAAGACTTTCAAGTTCCCGTCAATCATATCCTCAATCTCACAGCTTCATTTGCACTCAAATCCACACTCAGACTCTTCAATTCGTCTACATAGCAACTCGATCTCGACTCAATACAGCGTAGTAAATTCCAGCCATGGCTTCGCGACCAGATATGGACGACGAAGACCTCACCTTCCACTGCTGCGCGCCCCTTCGGCCCTCAGAACTCTTGAGACCAATTGACGTCGGCGACCTTGGGTATGTACGATACTCACTAACTCACTTACTCACCTCTCAATCTCTAATCAAGTCGACTTCACTTGTGATATGATTCTTTGAAACTAACATACACCGTCACAACCAGCGGCTCAGGCCACGCAGGAAAATCAACCTTTCTCGCCTGGCCCATCTTCGGCCCCCTTCTCTTCCAAAACGAAACGAGCGATGCGCGCGACCACTGTGCAAATGAGAGGAGTATGCCCAACACCCTTTGTCTTCTTACTCGTGCTTTTGATGTTTCTCTTAATCGTCCTCTTGCTCGTCCGCTCACTCCCTTTGGCCGGTTGACGCTTCATTCAAACATCACAACAAATCAGTTGAACTACTCACTAACCACTCGTCAACTCACCACACAGCATTCCTCAGCTACCTCCGCCTCTCAGTCTACATGTCCATCGTCGCCGTCGCCATCGTCCTCTCCTTCCACCTAAAGTCCGAACCGAGCCAGCTCGAGCTGCGCATGGCCAAACCCCTCGGCATCATCTTTTGGATATTGGCCGTCGCGTGTCTGTGTCTCGGAATCGGGAACTACATTAGTAAGTCTTTCCTCCTTGCCCCTTTTCCTCTTTTCTACCCACTTCCGCCGTGGAATCGGGGCTTTCCGCTCTCCATCTTTGGTGTGTGAAAGGGATGAATACCTTCGAAGACCGGCAAAATTGACCTTTCGACAGAAACGGTAAACAAGTACAGTCGCAAGGCAGCCATCGTGCAAACCGGATGGAGGACGCAGCTCGTAAGTCTTCCCACCAACCCCCGCTTCATGTACACGACGACTCTTGGCATTGGCCTTCATATTGACTCCAATACCCTAGGTTCTCGCTGTGGTGGCTCTCAGCATCGTAGGAACATGCGTCGTCTTACTCGTCATCACAAAGATCTCGGCAAACTCCCAAGAGGGAGAGAAAAACTCATCGACTAGTGCAGAAGCAGCAGCAGCAGCAGCAGCAGCCTTCGTCGCGGGACCAGTCTTGAAATGAACAATCTGCAAACAAAAAATCTCAATTCGCTTATTTGTATCCCACCTTTTTGTGCCTTTGTCTTCGTCGCGCCGTGTCAGTCCATGCTGATGTTCCATCCATCCCGTGGGTATATAAAAAGGGTCTATATAGTATACACTTGGCACAAGATTCTCTCAATCATCTTGACCAGCAGGCTTTCCCTCCTTGGGATTTGCTCCGCACTCTCTTCATTCTCTATTAAGCCTTGAGTTTACCATCAGGCGTGCAAAATAGATCCCTCGCGGACCCATCCACATGATCCCGCTGAGACTCTTCTTTGCTGCAGCCACCGACTTGCTCGCGCCATGTGAACATGTACTCTATCGCCATTTGATAGATGTGCCTTAGGTTCGTGCCTTCGCCCTCCCAGCCGAGCAGAGGGAGGTCATTGGCGGGCTTGAGGCTACCATTGTTCGGCAGCGTGTCCATCGTCTGGACTAGAGACCCAGAGCCGAACCTCGACTCGGAGAGACTCGCCGTCCTCTTACCCTCCCCGCCTTCCTTCTCGTATTCCTCGGGGGCCTGGTAGAGCTCCTGGTGTACTGTCGCGATAGTGGCTGCCGTCTCTGCGCTGGGGTACAGCGTAAAGTAGCCTCTGAGCCGGGAGAGTCGCAGCATGTGTTCCAGCCAGGAGGGGAACATCTTGCTGACCTGCTTTTCGGCAATCAGCGCCGGTGATGGCTCGGCACCCCGCGCGTGTTGCAGCGCGTCGACTTGCGACACAAGGCCGTGCAGCTCGATCCACCTGTCGCCGAAGAAGAGGATGGCGTTGCTGTTGGGAGCTTGCCACAGGTAGGAAGTTCCGGATTCGAGATCGCTTACGCCTTCTGCCGTCGGCTCGATGAAATCCTTCTTGCCGTTCAGATACGTGGAAGGCGTGGTCATGCTAATGCCGAGCAGACGTTGATCCCATTTCTGCAGGGTGGTCAGGCGAGAGTAGCGGTACTCCAACACCGTATACTTGAGGTCTGGTAATCGTTAGTCAGATGTTCTAGTTCTTGTGACATGGGGTATGCCTACAATGGAAGAAACCAGGCGCAAGCTCCGCCTGCGGTGAAAGAACTAGAATATGAGAGTACTTTGGCGTTGTTGGCCAGAAAGATTCAAGGAATCGTATCGAGCTCTCCTCCTCCGTCATGCGCTGTCTCGGGATTCTATGCCTTAGAGAGAGCATCTGCACGCGCCCAGGGTTATGCACGTGTGGCGGCGGCCAGCGGAACGTCTCGAGGAACTTGGCCGTCGCAGGTTCAATGTCTTGCGGTAGCTCAATGGTGAGGTGAGGGATCGAGAAGGCAGTGAAATCGGCGTCATTGAGAGACTTGAGCAGCCGCAACAGGCTGCCTGACCCGCTCGCCGGGGCTTGGATCAGGATGTCGACGCTGACCTGGTTCCACGCCGCCAGGGAAGCACTGTCAAGCTTCGACAACCATGAAAGATGTGTCCAGGCACCAGCAGGAAGCTCGATCAGCGGGGTCTTGAGCCTGCCTGTCTCGTGGCGCATTCCTTTCGTGAAGGGGACGTATTCGTCATCGGAGCCGTCAATGATGATAGCTTGAGGATGCATGTATGTGCTGATGTGTCGCAGCGCGCGGACCGCGGATTGTTCGAGTCGAGCGTCGGTCGAGAGGGGGGAGAAGTCGGCTCGGGCATCGTGCCAGATGATGTAGCAGGTATCGTCCACGCCGTTGATCTTCTTGAGCTCATCGAGGTTGATGTCGCTCCTGCTCATGACGGCAAAGTGTACGTAGCTCCTCAGCTCAGTGCCCATCTTACATGCGAACGGTAGCAAGCTCGATATGCTGCGCAAGCTGGAGGCGGCGAAGAGGACATTTTGGTTGATGGGTTGGCTGCCCTTGGTAGCAGCAATGGCGTGCAGCGAGTTGGCGAGCCGGTGGAACTTGACGGGGCCATTGTAGTCATGTTCTGCGGCCGGCGGGATGGGTTGACCTTGAGCTAGTCGGCCGGGCTTTCGTGAGGAGGGATCGCGGGACGGAGAGGCGTCTTCGGGGTACGGGTAGATGTAGTTCGGGGGCCGTTGGCCGAAACCGAGGGAGAGGTCGCTCAGGAGGTACCAGAGGCCGGCGGCAATGACGAGGAGGTAGGCGATGCGTCGGAAGAGGCGGCGGGAGGGCATCTTGGCGGCGGGCTGCCATTGGGGGTTCCTGTTTCGAAGCAGCATGGGGTTCTTGATAGCGCTGCCGCCAGGGCGGTGGTGGTCGTCGTCCTTTTTCCCCATTTCTTCATCGCTGAGGAAAACGAAGGAGCGTAATTGGCGCCATGGATCCGGCATGCTTCTCTATCTGGGAGGGACGGAGAGTTGCAGCAGCGATGGGCCTGAGGACAGTTTAAAGGAAGAAGAGGGGAAGAGAGAAAGTAAGAAGGGCAAGGGATAGATGGAAGCGAAGGTAAGACGAAGCGTGCGTGGGTGGTACACGTTCACCGAAAAAGGACTGAAAGTTGCAAGGGAGGGGGAGCGGTGATCCGAGGGTTGGGCGTCTCACATCTTCCCGTCGAGGTAGTGAAGAAGCTGGCTGGGCTGCGTTATCCGTTGGAGAGCTCCAGATGCAAAGTTGAAGGGTAACTGACGCAGGAGTAGGAGTAGAAGCAGGAGCAGGACGAGGGCGAAGAAGGTCGAGGCTAAAGCTGGGCAGCGAGCGTACAGGACAGCACAGCAGTTGAAACAGACGCAGTTGCTGAAGCGGGCCAGCGGGACGGGATCAGATGGGACTGGACGGGATGGGACGAGAGGTGCCGTGAGATGCGATGCGCAAGGTATTGGTTCGTAGGGACTCCGTACACGAAAGGTAAGAAAGTTGGCGCAAGTGTGGGAATTAACAAGTGGTCCCCTTTTCCCATGCGATTCCCCTTCGTTTTCCTCCCCTGTTGGAACGTTGCCGGCAATTGATCACCTAGATGGGCCAGACCTTGACGAGAGATTTGAGATCCCAGGGTTGTCTGCTCCAGCTGGGCTGTGCAGCGTGGTGCAATGTCACAGACGCGAGCTTTGGTGGATACTGGATGGTGGATCTGTGGAGCTGGTCCGGACGTGGCCCGGAGGATGGAAGAGGAGGAAGATGCGCGTGGTCGGAGTGGACGGACGATCTCGAAGCTTTTGCTCTTGCTTTCCAGGTTCGCTTTTGCTTTGGATGGTATGCTGGTGAATTGTGATGGGTCAAGGTTGACGTGGACTCGAGGATTCGAGAGGTGGTGGTCACGGTTGTACGTGTGCGTGTGCGAGAGAGACCGAGCGAGAGCCAGCGGGGATCCGAAGACTGTACAGACTACAGAGTATTCGTATCTGTAAGTACAGAGTGCTGATAATGACAGCTGTACGGAAAGGGATCGAGGGAGAGACGCAAAGGTAAAAAGCATAAGTGGCATTAAGTGAGGCCCATTAAGGGGACCGTTGAAAAAAAGATGTTTAAAGTGTCCGGCTTGGCGTCCGTCTGGTGGTGTCCCAAGCAAGGAAGGGGCGTGTGACACGGTGACAGCAAATGTCATCCATAACTCCTAGGTACCTTACCTAGGTAGGCGTGCTACGTACCTAAGGTAGGCTGAGTTCCATCAAACGCGACTGCCAAATGCCTTAGTAACTTGACAGGTAAGAGGTGCTGAACGTCAATTGAACTTGTCTCTCCCCAATGTCTCACAAGGTTGGGGAACGCAATGTACTGTTCCTGACCTTAGCGTGGCGCCCCTACGCAGCGGGCGGGGAAAGGTACCTTACAGGCTCCCGTCAGCCTTTAGGTATCCGTACCTCGAACTCTGAAGCTTGAACTTTCCGGCCCGGAAAACAAGCCTGGACTCTCTCCCTCGATCGGGCATCCGAGCCATGTATCTGCCCGCGCCTACCTATGTATAGTGCACTAAATATGCCATCCCTGCTGTGCTCTTTCTCCCATGGGCCCTCATTCCGCGTTGTGTTCCTGGTTCCACAGCCAACGTGAGGAAAATGAATACGTACCGATGGATCTGGCTGATGGACGGGACCAATTGGTGAGGCGCTTGGTGATTGGCGAATGGAGATCGGTGGTACGGGGTGCCGGGGCGGGAACACGAGCCACATTGTGGCTGCCCATAGCAACACCTTTGTGTGAATTTTTTTTTCAGTTCGTCACTCTATTTTTCTGGGAAGTGAATGAAGCATTGGGAACTTTTTTGATAGGGTCGGTCACGAACATTGGTCCAAATCCCGAATAAGAAGCCATCTCCAAAACTCACAATTTCTCATGCTCCCTCTCTTCACACCACACTACACACTACATAACTTCTCATAAAACATACACCCAATCATAATCACCCAAAATGGGAAAGTCAAGACGAAACAGAGGCGGCCCAAGCCATCGCAAGGACCCCATCGCCAAAACCGTCAAGCCCCCCTCCGACCCCGAGCTCGCCGCCCTCAGGGAAAAGTCCATCCTGCCCGTCATCAAGGACCTGCAGAGCGCCGACCCCAAGTCGCGCACCGCCGCCGCCGAGGCCGTCTCCAACCTCGTCTCCAACGAAAAGTGCCGGAAGCTGCTGCTGCGTGAGCAGATTGTCCACATCGTCCTGAACGAGACCCTCACCGACGCCAGCCTCGACAGCCGCGCCGCCGGTTGGGACATTTTGCGGGTTCTTGCCGAGGAGGAGGAGGCCGACTTTTGCATTCACCTGTACCGCCAAGATGTTTTGAGCGCTATTGGTTTCGCTTCACAGACTGTAAGTCATGCTTGCCACCCATCTCAGACTCACTAACAAGAATGCCTGAGTGAATATATGTAACTCTGTACGATATGCTAAAACAACAAAATCAGATTCTCCAAAACCTTGCCAAGGGCTCATCTCTGAGCAAGGGCGAGACAAAGGTCACCTGGACCATCACCGAGTCCGTCATTGGCCTTTTGTCTGCTCTCGCCGAGGCCCAGGATGAGGTTCTCGAAGCCATTGTGGGCATCGAGGGCATCAAGCACTTGCTCTTCACCATCATCGCTCACCCCGACACACCGTCAAGCATCTGCCTCGACGCTCTTTCTGCCCTTCTGACGCTGTCCGAAGACAATCAGCGTCTGGCGCAGGATGTTGTCGCCGATGAGAGCCCCAAGCCGCTCACGTCATTGACCAAGCTACAAGAGGTCGCTGGCGCAAAGGGCGTCCTGGCCTGTGGTATTCTGCACAACATCTTCACCACCTTGCATTGGTTCGACAGCACGCCGGGCCCCAAGGACCTCTCTGACGCCTCCCTCATCCCGACTTTGTCATCGGCACTCAAGAACACCACGCCAGAGACCGATCTGCCACCCAGGAGCCAATGGTCCAACCCGACCGAGGTTCTTCAGCTTGCCCTGGAGATCCTTGCGGATGTCGGAACGACGCTGCAGCAGTCTCTCCAGGGAGGCGACAGCAAGAAGGCCAAGAAGGAGGAATGGAACGGTATCGAAGACGACGATACCGCCATGGACGAGGACGTCAAGGAGGACAACGGCTCCGGCGACGAGGATATTGGCGAGGACGACGAGAACGACGACGACTCCATGGACGAAGACGAGATGCAGGCCGACATGGACCTCGTCACCGGCGCCGACGACGACGTCGACGAGGAGGCGACCATGAACGACCTGCCCACCCTGCGCGAGCTGGTACAGCAGGCCATCCCGCAGCTCATCACCCTCGCGACCCCGTCATCACAAGCAGAGGGCGACAACGTCCGGGTACAAGCCCACGCCCTGGCCGCCCTCAGCAACATCGCCTGGTCCATCTCAGTCTTTGACTTCTCCGACGACCACAACGCTGGCATCCTCAAGGCTTGGGCCCCGTCCGGCAAGGCAGTCTGGGGCCAAGTCATTGCCCCGATCCTGGCGGCCAACACCGCCGACGTCGAGCTCGCCACAAAGGTAACCAGCCTCGCGTGGGCCGTGTCCCGCAGCTTGCCCCGCCGCCTACCCCTCAGCGGCGACGAGCACACAAAGTTCATGGCGCTGTACCACGCGACCAAGAACCTGCCCTCAAAACAGGCGGTCGAGACGGAGGCCAACGGAGACAAGGCAAAGGACGAGGAGCCCGAAGATCCCTTCCAGGGTCTCGGCGTAAAGTGCATCGGCGTCCTGGGCCAGCTGGCGCGGGACCCGGCGCCCCTTGCGCTCAACAGAGAGATTGGCGTGTTCCTGATCACGGTGGTGACTGCCTTACCAGATACCCCGGCCGCTGACACCGTCGAGGCCCTGAACCAGCTGTTTGACATTTACGGAGACGAAGACATGCCTTGCGACAAGGAGGTCTTCTGGAAGGACAACTTTATTCAGCACCTCGAGGCGGTTCAGCCCAAGGTCAAGGCTTTGGTCAAGACGATTGATAAGAGAACTCTCCCCGAGCTTCGCACTCGTACTGAGGAGGCTGTGTTGAACCTTGGACGGTTCATCCAGTACAAGAAGAAGAATAAGGCATGAGGGGAGTATCCGGGGGTTGAATAACGGAATTTTGAAGGAGAAGGGGGGGGGGGGCGACTCCCGGGTTTTAACATATCACGAAGCTTTCGAGCAGAGGTGTCAAAAGTACATGTTTTCGGAATCATGAAGCAAATCATAGCCACGATGCAACGAACGGGAGGGGAAGGTGCTTACCTGGTAGACAAAAAACCCTCGAAAGGGGGATAAGGGGAAACTTTTTGGAGGAGAGGAGACACGAGCATTGCACTTCTGAGATGGTTAGGGACATAACCGCGGTGGTCAACAAACAACAAACTCACTGATTCGCTGATATAAACATGCCGTATGCATGCTTTGTGCCCGAGAAATCCGTAGTCGAGACCTGTCGAACTGTAGTGAAGAATGATCCCCTCAAAACACCAACCCCCTTTCCCGCCTGTAGATAGAGAAAAGACGAAAACAATGCAAACCCATACTAGAGCTCAATCCCTTCCCATTTTCGTGATTGCAGACTTCAGCCAATCGGCTTCATCTTCTTCTTCTTCTTCCCGTCGCCCGACTTTCCCTTTTGGAAATCCCGCCAGCTGCTAATGCGCTGGTCCCGCGTCGCCTCCCAATCCTGCTCGTGCTGCCTCTTGCGCTTCCGCTGCTCAATCTCCTCCTCCTCCTTCTTCTGCTCGCGGCCCTCCTCCTGCATCTGCGCCTTCATCTGCCGCCGCCGGCGGTGCTCGTTGTCGATGAGCACCTCGCGCGCCTTGTTGCGCCACTTTTTCGCGAAATCGTCCGTCTTGAGCTCGGGGCTGTCGACGGTCCACTTGTTCTCGCGGATGAGGAGCATGCGGGCGTCGGCGATGGCCTCGTCGAGGCGCTCGCGGTGCTTCTCGTCCATGAGCTCTGTCTGGGCCTTTTTCAGGCGGTCAAAGGCGTCGGGCGCGAGCGGGTTCTTGGTCTTGTCAGGGTGGATGAGGAGGGACTTTTTGCGGTAACAGATTTTGATGTCGGATTCGGGGACGCCTGGTTGCAGGTCGAGGACGGCGTAGGCGTCTAGCCTGAAAGCCTTCAGGATTCTGTCGATTTCTGCATCCTGTGAAACGGGGAGAGGGAAAATTGTTAGCGTTTGGCTATAAAAGGTGTGCAGCTGGGTTTGTCTGGCGATCGCATTTACCTTGTCAAACTCCTTTGCCTCGATCTCGAGCGCATCGAGTGCGTCCTTCTCTTCTTTGACGTCTTCGCTCGCCATGATGATGACCAGATACCTGTTCAGGAAAGGTTGAGATTGACAGCTGTACCTCGGTAGAACTGGCAAGGAGTACTGTAGATGTAAGGTAGTTGAAGATTGACAGTCGTGCGCGGTTGGTGAGCACGAGACGAGGCTCAGTGACAGCCACTTGGACCCGCTAAAGACCCTTGCCGACAAACGCCTGCCCCACGACGCTAAGATAAGACCAGCTGATAAGAAATTTCTCGTCCCGCCCAAGCCCAAATTTTCGAAAAGACGCCGCTCAGCTCTTGGATGCTCTGCCGTTTCGCAAAACCCGCGCCTTGGGAAAACCAACTTTTTCGACGGGCCCGAACCTACGATCACAACACCCGGGGGCCTCGCCAGAAAAACAACACAGAGCTTCAAGATGCCTCGTCGCGCCGCATCTCCCACTCCCTCTGACGGAGAGGTCGACATCGCCGATCACTTGTTCGACAATGGCAGCGACGCGGGTCAGGATGTGGGAGACATTGACTTTGATATGGACGGGATCCTGAACGGCCACGAAGAGGGCAGGAAGACGAGGATGGCGACGAAGCGTTCATTGCGCTGAAGCAGGCTGCTTCGTTCCGCAAGTCGTCCAACGTCAAGGGAAAGTCGGTAAAGAGAGGCGGTGGTTTCCAAGCAATGGGTAAGTCGCTGAACCCTTCCTACACGACCATGGTTCTGTTGCTAGAGATACTAATCGTTTTGGTTACGCAGGTCTGAATGCCGGCCTCCTGCGCGCGATTACGAAGAAGGGATTCTCTGTCCCCACGCCGATTCAGCGAAAGACGATTCCCCTGATCTTGGACCGCAAGGACGTCGTGGGTATGGCGAGAACCGGTTCCGGAAAGACTGCGGCTTTCGTGATTCCCATGATTGAGCGCCTGCGCGCCCACAGCGCCAAGGTCGGCACGCGCGCGCTGATCATGTCGCCCTCTCGTGAACTTGCACTCCAGACGCTCAAGGTCGTCAAGGAGTTCAGCAAGGGGACGGACCTGAAATGCATCCTGCTCGTCGGTGGTGACAGCATGGAAGATCAATTCAGCATGATGTCGTCGAACCCGGATATCGTCATCGCCACCCCCGGTCGTTTCCTCCATCTCAAGGTCGAAATGGGTCTGGATCTGTCGTCCATCAAGTACGTTGTCTTTGACGAGGCCGATCGTCTGTTCGAAATGGGTTTCGCTGCCCAGCTTACCGAGATTCTCCATGCCCTCCCATTGTCGAGGCAGAGCCTTCTGTTCTCCGCCACACTGCCGGCATCATTGGTTGAGTTTGCGAGAGCCGGTTTGCAAGACCCGAGCCTGGTGAGATTGGACGCCGAGACCAAGGTTTCCCCCGATCTCGAGAGTGCCTTCTTCTCCGTCAAGGGAGCCGAAAAGGAGGCTTCCCTGTTGCATATTCTCAACGACCTTATCAAGATGCCACAAGGCACACCAGACGGCGTTCCCCTGGATGTTGTACCATCAAAGAAGCGGAAGCGTGAGGGCGGTGGCACCGGCAAGCCCACGGAACACTCGACTATTATTTTCGCAGCAACAAAGCATCACGTTGAATATCTGGCGCAACTTCTCACAAAGGCAGGCTACGCAGTCTCTCACGTCTACGGTTCACTAGACCAGGAAGCGCGTCGCATCAACACCGAGAACTTCCGAAACGGTAGAGCAAACATCTTGGTGGTGACGGACGTCGCCGCCAGAGGTATCGATATCCCCGTTCTCGCAAACGTCATCAACTACGATTTCCCACCGCAACCCAAGGTCTTTGTCCATCGTGTCGGACGTACGGCTCGTGCCGGTCAAAGAGGTTGGGCATACAGTATTGTGCGCGAACTGGACACACCTTATCTGCTGGATCTCCAGCTGTTCCTTGGTCGCAGGCTGGTCGCAGGCCACGAGACCGAAAACCCATCGTATGCCGAAGACGTCGTCGTTGGTGGGCTGAAGAGAGACAGGATCGAAATCAACATGGAGTGGATGGACAAAATCCTGAAAGAGGAGGGCGACCTGGAGGCGCTGCGTAAAGTTTCGACAAAGGCCGAGAAGCTGTACCTGAAGACCAGGCATTCTGCTTCAAGCCAGAGCGCGAAACGAGCCCGAGAGCTTGTGGGAACCAAGGGCTGGCACGAACTTCATCCCTTATTCGGCAAAGACGCCAGCGCTGTGGAGCAAGCCCGCAACGACATGATGGCCAAGATTAGTGGCTTCAGACCGGCTGAGACCATTTTCGAGATTGGAAAGGGAGGCAAGGGCTCGAGCAGTGAGGCAGTCGAGGTCATGAAGCAGCTGAGGAAACGCATCACACCACACCGTGGCAACAAGAAGGAGGATTTGGACTCAGACGACGACATGGAGGGTCTGAACGGTGCCGAGGACGATTCAGATGACGCACTCGACGGGGAAGTAAACGACGGTGCCGCAGAAGCCTACAACTCGGACGATTCTGACGACAACGACGGACTCGAGGTCACAATCACCAACACAGGCGAGAAAGAGAAGAAGAAGAAGCCGGACTCCTGGCGCGACTCGGACGTCTTCATGTCCTACACCCCGAGAACGATCAACGCGGCCGAAGAGCGCGGCTACGGCGTCACGTCGGGCGCGCAGACGTCGAGTTTCGTGCAGGCGGCGCGCGACGTGCAGATGGACCTCACAAACGACGAGACGGCCAAGGGCTTCGGCGAGCCGACGCGGGCGGCGGGCATGCGCTGGGACAAGAAGCAGAACAAGTACGTGGCGCGGGCCAACGACGAGGACGGCTCCAAGGGGTCCAAGTTTGTGCGCGGCGAGAGCGGCGTCAAGATCGCGGCCAGCTTCCAGAGCGGGCGGTTCGACCGCTGGCGCAAGGCCAACCGGCTGGGGCGGATCCAGGTGGGCGGCATGGAGAAAGGCAACCTGCCGGACCTGCCGTCTGGTCGGCAGTACAAGCACAAGCAGGAGAAGGCCCCGAAGCAGGCCGACAAGTTCCGGGACGACTACGAGGTGCGGAAGAAGAGGATCGCCGAGGCCAAGGAGAAGCGCGTCGGCCAGTACAAGGACGGCGCTGGCAGTCGCAAGGAGATCAAGGGCGTCGAGGATATCAGGAAGGCGAGATGGGAGAAGCAGAAGCGTATGGAGAAGAACGCCAGACCGCAGCGCAACAGGAAGTAGAGTGCCGCAACGTCTGTTGGAGGATACACCATTTGTCAAAATATATCAAGGAAGAGAAAAGCGTTTTTGTTCAAAACTTGGGCGATATTTTCCGAACTTATCCAGGCTACTGTGAAGAATTATTGTCACCATGTCGATGGACCAACACATTGGAGATAGCTGCTGTGCCATGACCCCGGTGTCAGTGGCCTCTTGGGGACGCGTAAGGTGGACGAAGTTGCCGCGGCGGAGTCTCTGCCAAATCGGAGCCGGTGCCCGCGAACTTGATTTTGGTGGCCGTGACGTAAGGCAGCGGCACTGCGCTTCCGGTGATGACTGTCAACCACCAACAACGAAGTGCCAAATACTAGACCTCGTTTCCACAAATCTCGGTTTTCAATAATCAATCATCTCTTAGAAGAGCACGATACCTAGATCGGTAGTCAGTCTATTCAGCAATTTTAATTCGGCATTCCAATAATGGCAAACCCCAAACCCTCAAAACGCTGCCTCTTGTGGGACTACACCAACACCCGCGACCGCCCAGACGCAATCGACCAACTCTTCACAACGCCACCAGACTCCACCACCAAGCCCACAGCAGCAGCAGCAGGAGAAACAACAACGACAATTCCACCATTCAAGTCCGTCCACAACTGGAACGCATGGTACCCGCCCGAGCTCAAGGGCCGGCTCCCCTTCCGGCCCATGATCCGCACGCGCGCGCAGCTGGACACGGAAGAGTGGGACTGGATTCGCGACTCGGACGCCGAGATGGTCCACTACCTCAACGAACCGGAGCGGCAGGGCATCTCGCCGGCGGACGCCGCGGCCTGGTGGCTGGAGAAGGTCGTGCCCGAGTTGCGAGAGAAGAGGGGCAAGAAGCTTGTTGGGCCGGCGTGTGCTAGCGATCCCGGGGGCGAGGCGTGGCTTGCGGAGTTCATGAGGATTGTCTACGAGGATGAGGAAACGAAGAAGAAGAAAATGGGACCGGATTTCCTTGGGGTGCACTATTACAGCGGCGATGTTGAGCATGCAAAGAGGTACTTGACGTCCATGTATGAGCGGTACGGGCTGCCGCTCAACGTATCGGAGATTGCGTCTATTAGCCGGGATCCGGGAGATGTGGAGGCGTTTACGGAGGAGCTGAGCGGGTGGATGGACGAGAGGGAGTGGGTCGACGAGTATGGGTGGTTTGGGTGTATGGCACACTGCGCTGATGACTTTGTGAGTCCTGCGGCGCAGCTAATGGATGGGGAGGGGAGGTTTACGCCGCTCATGAGGCGGTTGATGGGGGTATGATTCGTCATTGACTTCAAGTTGCTGAACTGAAGGGGGTTCCCACTGGATTTGGTGGTGTTTCTCCTTCAGATTGGTAATACACACCTCTAAAGTTCGTTCGGGTCAGGGATGATGCGGAATACCAAGACTGGAACGTCTACTGGATTCCTAGGCAGAGTTAATCATTGGTATGCTGGTTTGATCATTCACGATAGAATCTGGAAACTCTCTTCATGTGCTATAGGATGTGCTGTGGTGTTTCCGTCGCTCAAGCTAATGATCTTTGATCTGGATAGAGTTGTTGACTTCAGTATCTTGGAGCAAACATGAATCAAGCGGAAACAAGCCTTGGGTTGCGTCTTGGCTGTTTCTTTTCGCCTAGCGTCTCCCCGCCTCCACGGGCCTCACAAAAGAAGGCCTCACGTTCATGTCCCACAACTCGGAGATCATCGACTCCCAAGACGTTTATTCTCATTGCGTGTGCGGGAAGGCTCCCCACATGAGTCAGCCGCGCTCAAACGTTGATTACCCGATTAGGCAAGTCAATGACATGCTGTACATGCACTTGCCGGGTCGCTCCCGTCGACTATGATGGAACGCAAATGGCTTCTTCCCGGATTACTCCAGCAACGTCTTTGTAATCCTTCTAGCCCCGGTCAAGGCAGCTTTGTCTTTCGCCAAACCTTCTACGGTCGAGTCAATTGACTCTATACTCTCTCGAATTGTCTAGAAATAAGCCAATGACTTGGGATTTTGTTACGTACAGCCCACGTAATGGCAACCGGACATTCGGACTCATCTCGCAGGTTTCATCAACTGGGTAACACCAGTCAAGTCTATCAACGAATGAGAAAAGAAGAGGATGGGGCCTCAGCTCTCTGTATCGTTGCCGTTGAGTCTTGGTTGCCTTTTCGGGTCAGTAGAAAGAAGGTTATGATGCACTTGGACTTTCGTAGTCTCCAGTAGAGCGAATATTTCTACGTCAAGGTTGAGATGGTGAAAAGACGCTGCTTTACAAATATCGTGGCGTACAGCCAAGGTTGAAGTTGGCTTGCTTTCTCCTCATTAGACTTTGAAGTTAATATTAGACTTGCTGCTTGGGCAACGCTTGAGCCATGAAAGCAACCGAAAAGACAGTAGACTCCTTCCAGGAGCATATCTCGGGACAATCCAACAAGCCTCTCTCTCGACCACCTCACTCTTTGGAGGCTATTCAGGTCCTCGAAGAACTCAATGTCGACGCAATCAAAGGCTTGGGCCCCGACGATGCTGCCCGCCGGTTGGCGGAATTGGGGCGCAATGAGCTTCGTCAACAAAAAGGCGTCCAGCCTTTGAAGATTTTTCTTGAGCAGATTTTCAATGCTATGACTCTGGTATGTTGTGTCTCGGGTCCATAACCAGAATCTCGCCCAGTCGGCTCGCGAAAATGCAAAATTGCATGAGCTAACCATCTCTACTCGAAAACAGGTCCTCCTACTAGCACTCGGCGCAAGTTTCGGCATCCAAGCCTGGATCGAAGGCGGCATTCTAGGAGGCATCATCGTCCTCAACATCTTCATCGGCTTCTTCCAGACCCTCCAAGCCGAAAAGACAATCAACTCTCTAAAGAACCTCGGCAAACCGACATGCAAGGTCGTGCGCGACGGCAAGACGATCGAGATACAGACGGCCGACGTAGTACCTGGAGACATCATCGACTTGAATACGGGCGACTCGGTGCCAGCGGATATCAGACTCATTGAAGCCGTCAATCTGGAGGCGGATGAGGCGTTGCTTACTGGAGAGTCCGCGCCCGTGTCCAAGATGCCCAACTCGGTGTTTGACGAAGATACGGGTCCGGGAGATCGACTTAATGTGGTGTACAGCTCCACAGTCATCACGAAGGGTCGCGGGCGCGGCGTCGTGTTTGCTACTGGCATGTTCACCGAGATTGGCCTCATTGCTGGTGCATTGAACGGCGGCTCGGGGAATAAGTCCCGGGTGAAGCGCAACGAGCATGGGAGCGCTTCAGTCCTTGCGTACCTTGCCGCTGGGTTCATGGCTGCCAAGTCGTGGATCGGCGAGTTCTTGGGACTGACCATCGGCACGCCGTTGCAGAGGAAGCTCTCTCAGCTATTTCTGTGGCTGTTCTTGTTTGCCATTATCTGTGCCATCGTTGTTCTTGGCGTCAACAAGTTTGACTCTCGCAAGGATGTGATTATCTACGCGGTCACTACTGCGATTGGGACGATCCCTGTTTCTCTGTTGCTGGTCCTGACAGTCACCATGGCCGCGGGTACGAAGAAGATGCTCGAGCGTCATGTCATTGTCCGCAACCTTTCAAGTTTGGAAGCACTTGGAGGAGTCAGCAGTAAGGAGTCTATTTTCTATTAATGTTGATGAAGAGTAATATGCCTGAAAACTGTCAAACCTCTAACCACCCGATCATCTTAGACATCTGCTCCGACAAGACAGGCACGATTACCCAAGGGCGCATGGTTGTCCGCAAGGCATGGCTTCCGGGATGCGGCACCTACTCTGTCTACACCACGAACGACGTATACAACCCTTTTGCTGGTGAAGTCGAGTTTGCGGCTGGCCAACCAAAGGACATTGACTCCGTCTCCGAGAAAGAGCACAACCTGCGGGCCGAGCCAATTGATACGCACCCTGAGCCTGCGACGAAGCCTGCTCTGCAATGGTTTTTGAACGTTGCGTCGCTGGCGAATCTGGCAACTCTGAAGCAGAACGCCGAAGATCCCACCAGCTCTGGGGAGTGGACGGCTAGCGGAGCACCCACCGAGATTGCTATTGAGGTGTTCGCGTCTCGATTTGGTTGGAACAGGGTGCAGCTGTCCCAAGGCTCAGAAGCTTCTTGGAAAGAGATTGCAGAATTTCCCTTTGACTCGGATGTCAAAAAGATGTCTGTCATCTTCAAGAATGTGGCCTCGGAAGAGATGCATATCTTCACAAAGGTGAGTCTTAGCTGCACAGATTAATCAACGCATATCTATAATACTGGCTAACATGACCCTACAGGG